TTTTTTTTTTTTTTTTTTTTTTTTTTGGTACCAGGGATCGAATTCGGGTCCTTTAACTGGATTTTTTTATTTTTGTTTTTTTAGATTTTTTGGTATAGTGTCTCAGATTGCCATGGTGAGCCTCAAATTTGCAATCCTCTTGCCTCAACCCCCCTTGGTGCTGGGATTACAGACATGCACCATTGCTCCTAGGTTTTTCTTTGTTTTTGGTACTGGGAATATAACTTTGGTATTGTTGGTTTTTTTTGTTTTGTTTGGTGGGTACTGGAGATCGAACTGGGGTCCTTGCGCTTGTGAGGCAGGCACCACTGAGCTAAATCCCTGGCCCTGGGGATTTAACTTGGCCTCACACATTCCAGCGTTGTGTTCTATCACTGTGTTATATGCTGGCCTTTTTATTTTAAGACAGGGTCTGGCTAAATCACCCATGCTAGCTTTGAATTTGCAGCTCTCCTGCCTTCTCCCAAGTAGCTGGGAATTCTCCAAGAAATCTTCCCTGACTCCCAAACCCATGTAGGGGCTCCTGTAATACTCTCTTCATTGCCATAGTATTCTGTCATACTTAGTGTTAGCTGTCTCTGGCATTAACGAGGTCCAGGCTATCTTAAAAGCTGTAACACTGCACATAAAGAGGCAAGAGTTGGACTCCAGTAATTGTTAATTTCTCCCTGTGTCCCTGTAGAAAACAGAACCAGAAAGAAAAATGGGGAGAAGGAAGCACTGTCACCTAAGGAAGCACCCCGAAAGGGGAAGCGTGGGCGGAGGCCCAGCAAACCCCGGCTGATCCCTAGGCAGACGTCCGGTGCCCCCATCTGTCCTGACTGTGGCTGTACCTTTCCTGATCACCCAGCCCTGGAGAGCCACAAGTGTGCCCAGAATCTAAAAAAGCCTTATCCTTGCCCGGACTGTGGGCGCCGCTTTTCCTACCCATCCTTGCTGGTTAGTCATCGACGGGCACACTCTGGTGAGTGCCCCTATGTTTGTGACCAGTGTGGCAAACGCTTCTCCCAGCGCAAGAACCTCTCTCAGCACCAGGTGATCCACACAGGAGAGAAGCCCTACCACTGCCCGGACTGTGGCCGCTGTTTCCGCAGGAGCAGGTCCTTGGCCAACCACCGGACCACACACACGGGCGAGAAGCCCCACCAGTGCCCCAGCTGTGGGCGCCGCTTTGCCTACCCCTCGCTGCTGGCCATCCACCAGCGCACGCACACTGGAGAGAAGCCCTACACCTGTCTGGAGTGCAGCCGCCGCTTCCGCCAGCGCACGGCCCTCGTCATCCACCAGCGCATCCACACGGGCGAGAAGCCCTACCCGTGTCCAGACTGTGAGCGGCGCTTCTCCTCGTCCTCCCGCCTGGTCAGCCACCGGCGTGTGCACTCCGGGGAGCGCCCCTATGCCTGCGAGCACTGTGAAGCCAGGTTCTCCCAGCGCAGCACGCTGCTGCAGCACCAGCTCCTGCACACTGGGGAGAAGCCCTACCCCTGCCCCGACTGTGGACGCGCCTTCCGGCGGAGCGGTTCCCTGGCCATCCACCGGAGCACGCACACCGAGGAGAAGCTGCACGCCTGTGAGGACTGTGGCCGCCGCTTTGCCTACCCCTCGCTGCTGGCCAGCCACCGGCGTGTGCACTCGGGCGAGCGGCCCTATGCCTGTGACCTTTGCTCCAAGCGCTTTGCCCAGTGGAGCCACCTGGCTCAGCACCAGCTCCTGCACACTGGGGAGAAGCCCTTCCCCTGCCTCGAGTGTGGTAGATGCTTCCGCCAGAGGTGGTCTCTGGCGGTCCACAAGTGTAGCCCCAAGGGCCAAAACTGTAACCCTAGATCTACTCCGGGGGCGGCCAGCCACAGGGGCAACCCCTCTTAGAATGGGAAGAATTAAGTTCCCTTCCTTTTGTGGAGGGCTCCAGAAAAGGGAAGGAGGCACCTATGACCCACAGCGCAGAGTCTGAACTAAAGCCCGGTCTGCTGTCCACACACCTGTCTTCGGTACATCCCACCACACTGCCTGCCTTACCGTGCGTGTCTGGAGTTGTCCCAGTAGGAGAGGCGACCTCATTTGGTTAAAGTTTTCCAAGCTACCCTATCTTAAACTAATTTATGTGTGTGTACCAGGGCTAAAAGTTCTCCCCACCTATTTTAAGAGCTCTGTACTTTTCTAGTTTGTGCATAGAGGGTTGCCCATCTCCTCGCATGCAATCAGAAAAATCTCATTGTAGCGGGGAGGGCCTTCCTCTGTGGCTCTTCTTCCATACCAACTTGAAAAAACCTGGTTTAGTCCACTTTTTACAACATTCCTGCCAAGTGATCTTACTGCTTGCTTGAAAATATCCCTTGACAGGGAGCTCATCACTTCACAATGCAGCTCATATTTGTGGGACAGTGCTGATCTTTAACAGGTTAAGTACCACGTTCTCATTCTCTGTAAACTGGCCTAGGGCCTGGGATGTGGCTCATTGGGCACACTTGGGCAAATGCAAGGTCCTGAGTTAGATTCCTGGTACCAAAAATAAATAAAGTCGCTCACAAAACCTGGCCTCTATGTTTAATTCTTCATCTATGTGGCAGCCTTTCAAATAATCACAGCTACTTGCCCACAAGTTTTCCTGGATAAATAGCATTAATTTGGTCACTCTTTTTTTTTTTTTTTTTTTTT